ACTTGAAACCATAAGAAGTATACGTGATTATTAAAAATTAAAATAGATAAAATTTGCACTTTATGGACGACACAATTTTTTTGGGATTGCAAAATAATGTACTAAAACATAAAAAGTAATCAGTTCAAATCTGGACCAAATGTAAATATTGTAATAATTTCTTATAAATACCATTTCCTAACGAAATTTTCCAAGATTATATAGATCATAATGCAAAAAAAACTAAACTTATCAGAAGTAACAGGCTTTATGTTTCTGAAACTACACACATTTATTAAAGTCATTACGAAGTTTTAAAACTTTTTAACCAGTAGTTTTATTGTTGGAATGACAAATAGCAAGACTTGCATTGGCTACTAAGAAAGTTAGTAGCCGGTAGTCAACGGGTTAATAAGAGTTTTCCCTTTCTGATGTTATATTATCAGAAAGAAGCTAATCTTTTCATCTGTTAATTTCTTTAACTACACCGGCACCTCCACCATCTTATCAATGTGGGACTATAGCTATTGGTATGGTGAAGAGGTGAGTAGCCTTTCCAAAGCTAAACTCTTCCTTACTTGAAAATGTATTTGAGATAGATACTTAACTCTCCGCAGAACCTCCCAAATGCCCTTCCCACTTTTAGTGTGTTTCTTTTGCCTCGCCAAGAATGAGCCTTTTTTAATACACAAGGTCCACATGGGTCTTACTGCACATGGAGGATGTGTCATCTTCTTATTTATGGATGGCTATTTTCTAATGCTGATTCCATTATAATCTAGCACAGTACATGTTAATGCATGTAGGGATAGGAGTTTTGTTCAAGATTTGGCACATATGCAAAAATATTTTGGGCAGTAGTGCAAGGTGATAGCTTTTATCCCTTCGTTCATGAACCTTATAGTATATTCAGGAAATTATGTGACTACATAAGTTTTCTTTCCATAGAGCAATCTCCCCCCCCCCCCTCCCTCATAATTGTTTATATATTTGAGGGTTTTATTTTTAGATGATAATTTTCAGTCTGAAAAAGTTAGGCATTATTAAAACTATACCATTTTAGATATACTTGTAAAAATAAGTTGTTGGAGAATACAACCAGATTTGTTTTTTGTTTTTTAAAAAGAAGCCATAAAAACAGAAGAAAATAAGTGGATACTTTACCATAACCCACTACCTATTAGGAAAACCTGGTTAACACATTAACAAAGGTCTGAAAACAGATACATGTAACCTAAACTAACAACAACAAAAAAAGTATAAGCCTATTCCAATGTGCAACTTACAAAAAAAAAAAATGGTTAATTAACAAAAGGAAGAAAAATCCATAGAGGAAACAAGTAATAATAGTGTAAGTAATTCCTTATATAACTTCAGGCTTAGCACATAGTTATACTATATTGATAATTCAATTTTAAGTATTGAAATGGAAAAGGAATAAAAAAAATGCTTAACTTAGAATTGTGATAGGACTTATCTTGACAATGAGGAAATTATTTGCTGACTAGTACTATAAATAGATTAAAAACAAACTGAGGAGCTCATTTCAGCATGTTTCCTCTTTCATACCAAACCTCTTTATATTAGGTACAAAATTTTTGTAAGGTAACTGCAAGTATTTTTAGAGAACATTTGTTATTAATAAAGTTGTATTTTTTCTAGGCATCCATACCAGAAGCAGCTTATGACTATATCAAATGGGTCAGGGTTCATTGTAGACTCTAAAGGTCTTATTTTGACTAATGCTCATGTTGTGGCTAATCGTTCACATGTCACTGTCAAGCTATTTGATGGAAGGGTGTTTGAAGGTCAAGTGGAAAATATTGACCCTCATGGAGATCTGGCTACAGTCAGGATAGATGCAGTAAGTTATGTTTAGAGTTGATTATGTTCAAATATAAACTTGTTAATTTTGAAAGTCAGTGTAGAGAAAATGGGATGACATATGTAAAGGTGTGTTATTCAGGTCTACTGATATCCAGCACACAAGTTTAAGTAACCACAGAACACATATTCAAAAAAATGTTATGCATAGAATAATTTGAACATAGTCAGCAAAGGTAACACAAAAAAAGTGTACAAGTACAAGTTTACAATTGTTCCCAACCCCTTCCTAAACTGGCTGGCCCTCTGGCTCGAAGGTGAGGAACAAAGGCAAGAGTAGTTAATTCCACATCCTCATAGAACAAGGAAAAAGATAATTGTGACTTACTGCTAAAATTCAAAAAAATTTTATTGCAGTTTGCTAGAATTCAGTGCTGCAAACATCACTGACTAATCCAAATAACATATGGGAGAAAAAACCTTAACACATACCACATTGTACAAGTATTTGTCCCCTCCCTTGAAATGGGCTTGCCCCTCCCATAGTGATATTAGATTCTAGCCATTGGCATATGCTATCTTTACCCAAGTAAAAAAAATTAGTACATGTTTATGACATTTCAACATTAGATTAAAAAGTGTCATACTAAGTGCAGAACGCCTGCACCAATTAAATGAATAATGTTTTTGAAATATAGAAAAGACTGTCTTAAAAAATTTTTACAGTAAAATCCTGAATGAATTTTCCAAAGAAATATTTACAGTTTTATAACTATATATATATATAGACAAAGTAACACTATAGGCATATCTCTAATATTATTATAAAATTATTCATAGTATAACATATGGACAACAAAGGACCATTTGGTCTTTCAAGGGTGTTCTTCAAAACCCACTCTTGATAAAATTAAAAATTTAAACCCACCATTTATTTTTCAGGAAGTCAATCAATTCCTTTCAACTTCTTTAGAGTGCTGGCCTCCTCTACTGTTGATGGCAGCTCATTCCATAAGTCAGTCACCCTATTGGATAAATAAAATTATCTTAACTGGAGACTACCTTGTTTTTTCCATTTCTTAAACTTGTGTCCTTTCATTCTATTATCTATAGATTATAACACAAAATAATCAGAGTCCTCTATCCTCTTGATCTCTTGGATAGTATTGTAAACTTCAGTAACATAACTTCTTATCCATTGTTTCTCAAGAGAAAATAAGTTAAGAAATCTTGACCTGTTTGTATAAGATAACTCTACTATCCCCAAAATCATCCTAGTATATCTTCTCTAAACCTTTTCCAATAAGTTGATATCTTATTCTTATATAAGGAGACCAAAATTGTACACTGTATTCCAAATTAGCCCTAACTAGTGATTTATATATAGAGATAATTACCTATTTTGACTTGGTATGACTACACCCTAATATTATTTGCTTTGCTACTAGCAACAGAGCACTACTTTGATGACTTGAATGACTTATCCACCACTATGTCAAGATCCTTTTTCTTCAGTCAAGCTATCGAGTTAGTTAAATATTTTATCTGTATTATGATAAAATAACACTTTCATAATTGTGTGCAAATCCCCCTCTGTATACTAGCATACCACTCACAGTTGATTGACATAGGAGGCTATATGTCATTTGAGTTGAACTTCTCAAGACACAGTATAGGTTTTTTCTATTCTCATAACATGATTAATGTGTATTTTGGTTGACCTGTCCAAAGCCTATCACCCTATGAATATAGTAAGTTGGAATGAACTGGTAATTTTCCCCTGAAGAAGGAAAGTCCACCTTTCGAAAGCGCTTGGGTTATAGGGTTTTTATTCATTTCTCTCAAGACTACTTGAACCTACATGTTCTTCTTAAAATCATTTAAGTTGGAATGAAAATATATATGTATTTTGTGTAAACTAAGTAGTTGTCAGTGTGGAGTATGAGGTTAGTAATTCTTACACTTTTCAAATTTGTTGAAATGAATGTATTTTATGGCAAACTCTGTCATAATTGTACATCTAAAATGTCTGAAAGTCACAGTCTAAGTTCTATCCTCCTGTTTACTAATAAACTGCATGGTACACTAGTAAACAAGGGTTATCTGTCATTTAAGCTGAACTTTCAAGACACAATTCACTCAGTATAAATTTGTTGTATTTTCATAATATGGTTATTGTGTTGTTTTGTTAACATTAAAGTAATATATTAAAAATGAAAATTCTTCAATATTGTTGCCCTTTGTACAGCCTAACAAAAATGCAACAGAGGCTCTAATTAATAACATACACAAGTGTACCTGATGATGACAAAACCTTGTCGAAACGTTGTACATTTGCTGTCATGTTAAACTTATATTAAAGTTTTTCTTCATTACCCATTTAAGCCGTCTCCAGCCATTATTAGTCTCAAAGTGGGTTCCTCGTCATCGAATACACAAGTTCAATTAAGACAAACACATGCAAAGTTATAAAAAAATCAGCTGCTAATGTTAAATGAAGCAACATTGCAGATGAACAACATGCCATAAACAAGTGTTTACAACATATTATTTTGAAAGGAGAATCCAGTTTATGTTCAAAACTACTACTACACTGTATTTTTTATGGCCAACATATCTATGTATATAATAAAGCTGGAGATTAACAACTTTTTTTCAAATTTTACAATAAACTATATGTTTTAAAGTGGAAGATGTTAGCCAGTAATAAAAACTGGTATTATTAGCAGATTATAAATTCACCATAACAACTACGTTTGCACTGATTAATAAATTAGCAAATGACTTGAGTAAAAATTGCATTATGTAATAGAAGATGTTCATCAGAAATTTATAAACAATTTGTAAAGGGTAGCAACAATGTATGATATTAGCTTTAAAAAATCATGCCTCACTTAATTGACATTTAGTACCATTTTCTTTAGACAAATGCAACTAGTTTTGGTGCATTAGATAATACTTTCAGTGCACATGTCAACAGAAGGTAAAAAAAATTTAGTTTTTGTTTTTTAGTACTAAATATAAAAGGTTTTACTTGTATTTTCAGCATGAGGGAAATTGACAGTTGACCAAAGTTAAAAATAAACTAAAGACAGTGACTGGTGTGAAAGACAGCACTGTCATCTTTGAACATTTGTGATCTAAAAGCATGATTGTGGCTGAATAATTGGTTTTCTTAACACAAGTTAAAAAACAATAAAATGATAGAGGATGTAAAGTCCAATGCCCTTGACCATCTTGTAGTGTGACTGTTATGTGCTATGAAACCAGATTACTATGATTGGGAGTAGTGAATATCTTGTATTTCAAAGACAAGATTTTCAACTCCAGTCTTTTGGAAACTATAACCACTGTAAAATGATCATAAGTTGTTTTGAATGAAATTATAAGGAATGAATATATAACTTTTGGTCAATATGATGATTTATTGCTCAATAACAAAATTACTACAAACTGTAGAAGATATGATGAGATAATGAATATACTAAAAACATGTAAGCCGCATCACCCTTCTTCAGTGTATCATCAAATGAAAGTCTCCTCAAGTCTTTTATTTTCAATCTTGTGTTGGTCTAATGCATCCACCTTCCTAAATAGCTTGGACATCGTTAATGAGTTTACTTTGGTTTGATTCTTGTGGCTGATATTTTAATAATGAAAGTCTTCCGGATATTTCTAAAAAAAATCCTGAAAACCTCCAGTTTTCTTCCGGAGAAACACATTTTTTAAAATTATTTATCGGATTTTTGTGTTCCTTGCCATAGATAAGTGTTTATGCGATCGTGCAGTTTGTTTACATTCGGCGACAGGGCGCCGCAATTTTGTAGTCTGGTGTGTACGAGGAAAGAAGAAAAAGCACTGCCAAATCCAGCTCATTCTAAATATTGATCAAAACAATCAGTGCACACAGTTGCTAAAAACATTAACAAAGCAATATGGTCAAAGAGGGGAGCTAGCAAGAGAAAACGAAACAGTGAGGATGTTGAAAAACCAAGGAAGAAAAAGATCTAGTGTTGCTGGTGTCACTGTCACAGCTGGTTTCCTCTTTCCTAAGCAGACTGTCTTGTTTTATTATTATAGAACTATGAACTTTTTACAGAATTTGCAGTGCATTCCATGGTGTATGTATAATTTAGTGTTTATTGATGGATTTGAAATCCTTGAAGTGGCATGGTTATAAGAAATA